TCTCTCTTTCTCTCTCTCTTTCTCTCTTTCTCTTTCTCTCTCTCTTTCTCTTTCTTTCTCTATCTCTTTCTCTCTTTCTTTCTCTCTTTCTCTCTCTCTTTCTTTCTCTCTTTCTCTCTTTCTTTCTTTCTCTCTTCCCCTCTCTCTTTCTTTCTTTCTCTCTTTCTCTGTCTGTCTGTCTGTCTTTTTTTCCTGCTCTCCAATCTGGCAGCTCCACTGAACCTTTTCCTGTTTCTCTCCTGCCGTTCACCTGTGACAAATTTGCTGGTGACTTCCACTGAAGCTCTCCTGCCTATGGGCTGGAGCTGCATTCTGAGCACTTGGATGTCTTCTCATTGCAGACCAAATGCTTCTAAATTGGTGTGAAGCTGACGGGTCTGGCATTTACTGCATTTGTCTTTTACTGCTACTGCATGACTTTTCAGGACAGTGTCTATGCCCATTGTACAATATCAGCAAAGAGATCCCTCTGTATCCCAGATCACTCTTCTCTACCAAGTCATCTGAGTCACTTGTCTGTGGAAATGAGGGGTGAGCGGTGGGTGAGAATGACGCCCTCATTTTCTAGCCTCAGGATAGCTCCCCCCATGCTGGGGAGGGAGTTGCCTCTCTTTGAGTTGCATAGCGGGGAGAGAGCTGTAAATAGAAAAAGTAAAGGTGCAGGATGGAGGGAGAGTATTAACAAGCAGCATCCCTTGGTCCCTGTGTAATCTCCTTGGCTGGCCTTGCATGCTCGCCCTGGTGGCCCTGAGCTCCTTGCAGAGCCGGATACAGAGATGATCCTCCTCTCCTGCAACAGAGATCAAAGGCCAGGGTAAAATTACCCTGCTCTATTCCTTGCTTTCTGTGGGCTCCATCTTCCTCCAGAGAAGCAGCCAGCTACAAAGAAGTGTGCAGGAGTGCATCAAGAATGCAGAGCTCTCTGTTGAGTGTGAGTCCCCGGTCCCTCAGGGGAGGTGTTGACCTCCTGTTCCAGGCTGAACACTGGTGCAATTTACCTACCAATGGAAGAACAAGCTCCCCAGTCCTAGTGCCAGGTCCCTCATCATTGTAAAGACATGTCAATGTTAACCCCAGTGTCTTCCCCATTAGGATCTTCCCTCCCACCTCCTCAAATGCTTCCATATGGAGCCATCATCAAGCTTTGTACATAGAGACTCTCACACCCCCACAGGGTCACACCACGAAACCAAGGGCCCCAAGCACCGGGCACAGTAAGATGAGCTGAGGGATAATATCAAGGCAGCATCCTTACCGGGATTTGGAGAATGAAGTGGGTTGTAGTCCCCTTCCAGATGGGTCCCTTGCAGTCAGTGTCCCCTGTGGTGAATGGCTTCTCTGCAGGCCAGGGGAGAAGGTCCCCTCCTTTGCAGTGTCCAGTCAGTCCTGCTTGTCCACTCTTAGAGTCCCTTGCTCCCTCTCTGCTCTTCAGCCTCTCCAGGACTGATCTCCCCATGGGGAGATGGACAGCTATGGACGGGAGGGGCTGGGGGAGGGCTGGTTCCAGGAGCAGCGTCAGGCAAATTAAATCAGACACCAGAGACTTGGGGAAATCGGATTGGGACGTAATGCAAAGCAGGTGGATGGGGAGGGGTGAAAAGAGAGAGTAGCATGCTGCTCCTGAAGGGAAAGAAATCGTCACAGACAGATTTGACTCCCTCTGTTTATATTAGCAACAAACTAATGAAGTGAAGATTAGCCAGAACAGGCGAGGATTATAAACCTCAGGGGCAGAGCTTGCTGCATCTCACAGTCCTCAGGAATGCCCTTTCTCCCAGGGACAGTGTACTACGTACACCTCAGATAGCATGGAAAGGAGGGTCAGTGCCACCTACTGCGGCAAGGAAAAATCCATGGCAAGGCTGGACCATGGGTCATGTTGTCTCCGAGTGGCAAATGGAGCACTCTTTGGGGAAAATACAAGTGGGCAAAGGGGCTGCAGTGGCAAAAGCTTTCAGCAGCAGGCCTTTTGGCAGCCACTTCAGCGGGATGCTGCGATGGGATTATCTTGGCCTCAATCTCTGTTAATCTCTCCCATGGCTTTGGCCCAAGCCCGAGATAAATACCTTTTAATGGATCTCATCTGACGTCAGGAGGCCATCAATCTAATCACCCAGGCCACCTCTAGGCAGAGCCAGCCAGAACTGCGGGCACCAGCCCCTCACCCCTGCTCAACACAGCCTCACCAAAGAGGACCACACAGCACCCCATGTCAGTCCTCAGGGAGTAAGAGTGCACATAGAATCATAGAATCATAGAATGCTTAGGGTTGGAAGGGACCTCTAGAGGTCATCTAGTCCAACCCCCCTGCACACGCAGGGACACCTAGAGCACATGGCACAGGACTGCATCCAAGCGGGTTTTGAAGATCTCCAGAGAAGGAGACTCCACAACCTCTCTGGGCAGCCTGTTCCAGTGCTCTGTCACCCTCACCGTTAAAAAATTTTTCCTTAAGTTCCTGTGGAACCTTTTGTCTTTCAGTTTGTGGCCATTATCTCTAGTTCTGTCAGTGGCCACCACTGAAAAGAGACCAGCACCATCCTCTGCACTCCCTCCCTTGAGGTACTTATAGACACTGATTAGATCCCCCCTCAGCCTTCTCTTCTCCAGGCTGAACATGGCCAGCTCCCTCAGCCTCTCCTCGTAGGGAGGGAGATGTTCCAGGCCCCTAAGGGCCTGGGAGTCCTGGAACATAGGACTCCCTTACCTACTATGAGGGTAACGACTTGGTGGGACCTACTGCTAGGGCAAGGAACTTAACATGTACACAGTGAATTCCTTTTCTTTTTTTTTTTCTTTCAGCTGATCCTTAGGAGGATGGAAACAAGAAGGGCTTCTGGCACAGATTGTGCCATGTTAAAGCAAGGGCTAAGCTTCAGAATGGAGAAGGAAGTCCCTGTTTCAGTCCTGTTCCTCTAGCACTCACAGGGACTGGCATAAACACAACAGTTTCCACTAGGGAAGGTCCTTGTTCTGATAGCAAGGAGGAGAATTTATATCCTCCTCTAACACCATGGACCCCAGCTATCCAACCATCTTCCCTTCTTCACTGCAGCTGTAGTCTTCACATGCAGTTCTTGTCTAGGCCTGTATGTTTCACAACCATAGGTTGGTCTGTGGCTCTAATCCTTCTCAGGAATAGTGTCACTGCTCTTTTTTATGCTCCACACTCATCCCGTTCAATTCTTGCTTGGCTACCGCATAATCCCATCTCTGGACACTAATTCCCTGGGCAGTGACAGCAGATTGTCTGTATATTGGCCTAAAAAAACAGTAAACAAAACATCTATTCCCAGGGGATATTCAGTGCATGAAAGGGAAACAAAACAAAGCAAACAAGACACAAAAACTTGCTTCAGGGAAGCAAAAGTATTTTTTTCTTCAAGGCACTGCCTAACTTTCCTATGGGTTACTCTTGGCAGAGCTGACTTTCGCTTTTGCCCTCGCTTACTGGATGCAGCTGGCATCTGGGCAAATGCTTTGTTTGTTTTCCTTCTCTGAGACCTCAGTCTCCTTCCATCATTTGTTAATTAAATTTCCATCAGCAGCCACTGTGTATGTCTCCCTTCTGGAGCAGAGATTCAAACTCCCCCAACATTTCTGTTCAGTATTTTGCTTTTATTCCACATATTCACAGCCACTCACCTTCCCTCTCTTGTTTCAACCTCTAGGCAATTTCAAACCTCAAGAGTCTGCAGGTGCCTAGGGCATTCAGAAGCTTTTGTGCTGAATTCCTAAATGTGAAATAGCCCTTGCTCCCACAAGTCCCTTCCTTCTTTGCTTTGGTTTGGTCCCATACGACCAAGAAGTTTGCACTGAAAGAAGTGACAAGTGACACAAATATGTAGGTGAGTCAGTGAAGAAAGATCTTGGTATCACTGGCTTTAATACAGTGTCCCTGATTCCATTTTTCAATTTCTGGAAACTCACAGAGAAGCAAGCTACATCCCTCTTTATCACTATGGCTCTAGCATGCTAATAAACTGCTCCAGGCCTTGGTGGTGCCAGCACTATTGAGGTGGTGACAGGCTGCTGTGTGTGCCAGTAGTCTCCCAGGACCTCCCACACTCAGAACTCATCTCTGGGTCGCAGTTCCTTGGGATGCTGTGTCCCAGGGGAGCTGGGCTTATGTCTCCGTCTTGTGGTTTTGGCTCTGTCACTAGGCATGGGGGACTCTTGTGAGGAACTGCTGCCATGATCTTCTCCCTGATGTAGTTGTCTGTCCAGCTTATCCTGCTCCGCAGCCTTCTTCTCCATCAGCTCCTCCGCCTTCACCCTCTCCTGCAGCCACAGAGACACAGAAATGAACCCTTCACTGCTGGGGTCTCCACCCTGCCCATGTGGGCCTGCAAGACCCATCTGGCCTTTGCCACATCTGTTCAATGCCCTAGAGCCCATTTGCTCTTGCAGAACCCACCGCAGGCTGCCCCTCCTTTAACGGGCCCCAACCCATCAGAAATCAACTACCAGCTCCTGCATGAGGCCCTGATGCTCGAGAAACCCTACAAGTCATTCCCTGGAGAGACCTGCTCCAGCTTGGAGGCCCTTGCCTCTCCAGCCCTCTCCAGCATGGTCCCTTACCTGCTCTGCATGCTCCTGGGAGTGTGTATACCACAGAGCCACAGCGCAGCGCCTGCCACTGCTCACGGCCCACACGCCATGTGGGTTCTCCTTGCCAGAGCTGAAGGCTACCAGTCTCCCACACTTGGGATACACCTTGGCCTGTCAGGAGAAAGGAGGGACAATGAGGCTGGCAACTCCCTGCCCTGGGGAGTGCTGTCCTTCTACAGAAGTCATGTTGACTGTGCTAGTGTGGAACAGCAAAGAGCCACTAGGCCTTAGAATATGTGGGAAAAGTGAGCCCTGGGGAGGACAGACTGAAGCAAAGGAACAACAGGTCACAGACATCCACAGGTTGTAAGGTAGAAAGGAGTTAACCTTTCCTCTATCTGAGATTTGCCTCAATTTGCCTTTGGTTGCTCCAGTTTGAATCTGCCACATTACCTGCATTGGACTGCTTTTGGAGCACCGAGATCCAATAATCAACTAGTTCCCGCCCACCTGGACTGGGTCTCACCTCCAGTCCCCTCTCCTTCCTTTGCCAAATCCCAGACTTACTGTGACAGTTACAGTGTCCAGTTCAGTGAAGAAAAGGCCCCCACCTTGGAAGTCATCATTGAGGTAGAGAATGCCACTGCAGACAAAAAGAAAGAAGACATATAGATGGTGAAGCTCATTCATTGCTAAACCCTGCTATGGGCAAACTGCAGACTCTCCAAAACAGCTCTGCAGACAGTTTCTGCAAGCTCCAGGGAGTTAAACCTCCATATTTAGCAAATCTGGTGGAACTTTAGTTTAAGACAAGAAAACAGCTGGGAGATGCAGCATGGTTTACCCAGATCAGAAAACCTGCCTGACCCACTTCTAACCTTAGTTCTCTGAATTGTCTTTTGTTTGTTTAGATATTTAAAAATGTCTTGACAACAGCCATCATGGTACACTGCTAATAAAGGAAGTTGTCATGGGCATGAGAGCAAGGAGCTGACGTGGATCGGAAATGGATGCAGAATTAAGAGCAGTTTTCATCCTTGCCGCTAGCAGGAACCTTATAGCGCTGTCCCAGATCCTGTGTTTGATACCTGAATGAATCATTTGGACAAGACATGAAAAGCAAGATGAGTGGGAAAAAATCTGGACATGACAGCACTGCTTGGATTTGGCAAGGGCAGAAAAATTCATGAGATACTATAGAGAAGTTGGGTGAGCAGATTAGGAATGCAAATGAAATTCATTATATGCTTACATGCTTCAAATGAAAGCATATAAGCACAAAACACTTGTCATTGGAAGAAAAAAATGAAATTACTCATCACTCTTCCAGTATAATGAATAATTTTCTCCACAGTCCAGAAGAGTATATTGAGTTCAGAATGAGTGATCATGAATTGATTCAGCTCAGACATACGAATATGGTATTTTTTAAGTCAAAGGCATGTGAACAATCTGAGATTTGCATCCCATGCTAGAGAAAAAACAAACCACTAGGAAAATGTTGCGTAACCAAGTGAGTGATATTCCACTCAAGTAAATTAAAAGTAATGTAAATATATCATTTTATTTGAAATATAATTATCAATATATCTATATAAATGTTTATTCGATTATAAATAAACGTATAAATAAACAAAAGCATGTTGGTTTCACTTATTAAATTTATAAACTTACAGCAATGTGTCAGGGGAAAGAAAATATTCTTAACAAAGCAGACCCTGACCTGACTTTCAGTGCTTATAAGGTTGGAGGTTACAGTGGATAGTTTTCAAGAAAACATCAACTCAGTGCTGCTGGAAAAATAAACAACATTGGGAATGACTAGGAAGGGAACATGGCTGTGCCACTGTGTAAATCCACAGGGAGCAGCCTACACCAACATGGTGGGTTCAAGCCTGCCTCTCCTATCTCAGATATAAAACAACAGTACTGGGAAAAGCACAGAAAAGGTCAACACAAATGATCAAAAGCTGGGGAATGTCTTCCTTACAAGGAAAGCCTGGAAAGCATAGGTGCCATCAGAGGTCACAGAAGGACAGCAGAACAAATGTTTGTAAGTCAGTGGGTACTGTGGAGAAGGAGAATAAAGACCAACCATATGCCAGCTTTTCCTAGAGAAGAACTAGGAACATCGGAGGCGGCTGAGTCAAATGCAAAAAAAAAAAAAAAAAAAAAAACCTTCAGATGCTTCCTCACTCTCCTTGCCACAGTAGGCTGTGGAGCCTGAATGCTTCTCGGGTTCAAAAAATGACTAAACCAATTACAAGGAGAATCCATTTGGGGCTGTTAAATACAGTGATGCCTAGCTCAGGGAAGTCCCTGAGCTGCACTCCACGGAGGGTTGGGACAGCACTCCAGGGAGACAGTTCTTCACACTTGCCCTTGTTTCTGTTTTAATATTGGGACTAATCTGAAGCCTGGAAGAAGAGACTGATCACCATGGAAAGAAATGTCCTCAGATTCAAGGAGTACAGGGTAACGTAGGAATGGTCAAAAACATACTTGGCACATGTCAAAAAGGAAATAAAGACAGGAAATCTCTTTACTCATATTAGACAAAAGGAGGAGCAGTGTAGGTGAGACCACAGTCACCTAGGATGAAAGTAAGAACCATAAAATGAGTAAGAACCTTCATGAGCTCCTCTCAGGACTCTGTTAAGCTGATGGAGAACATCAGAGAAACAGGAAAGGCTCAAAAATGGGACAGGGGATATGAAATAAAGGTCGCCACTCTAGAGGCTGAAGCAAAATGTTAAGGACATATGGACAATGAGATGATTGCAAACACAGAAGTCCAGGAAGTTTTAGCATAGAGTTTAATAAGACTGTGAAGTCAGGGTAGTAGTATATGACTGGAGAGAAGCAAAGATAGCTCTTACATGTAAGAAGAGATTGGAAGGTGGTGAGAATGGCTGAAGCATAAACAGGTCTGGTAGTCTGACCTCAGCAATCTGCAGGGTTTTCAGAATCTATTTCTGAGAAGTGTAACTGAAGGCCAAGAGGTAAATGGAAAATAGCCTTAAACCACAACATGGGTTTATTAAAAGCAGATTGGATCTTTGATAAAACAGCTATTTCCCAGGCAAAGATAGCATGCTTGATCTGCCACACTTGTCACTGTCTTAAAAGCATTTTTTTTTTTCACAGAAGAGTAACAAAATTACAACAGGCTGGGAATAAGCTCCCACATGGAAAGGAAAAGCCCAATGCAAAGTATTGATAGTGAATCTTCAGAGAGATGAATGAGAGGATAGTCATGGAAGTACACTGACTGCTGCTGAAGTAAAGGAAATCAAAGACCTCCGTTATCCGTGTCCTGCAATGCATGGAGAATGCAGCAGAAAGGAACGGGGAAGGACAGAATATGATTAAAAGAAATGTTTTTTTCATAAGGGTGAACTGTAGTACTATGGAAGACAAGAACACAATTTAATATCATGATTTTAGATTGAGGTAACCTCTCTGCCCAGCAATGCTCTCTGTTAATGCTCACTGCAGCAAGGGAGCAGGGAGCAAGGAAGACTCTCCTGCCAACACAGGGGAGATGTTTCACACTTTGTGCCAGAATTGCTGTGCAGTGCTCTGTCTGATGCTACAGGCCTGTCTGGCTTTGAGCCAAGTTTGCAAAAATGATGGCCGGAGTTCATCATCCAGCTGAGCTCATCCTCTGATGGGTCTTGGGAAAAGTTCTAAATTCTACATGTTCCAGTACAGGTTCTCTTCTTATCTTACCTGTAGTCCCTGTACACATAAGCAGGTGGCTCTCTCCAGCATTCGTTTCCTTCGGGATCCAAGAGACAGTTGTCAGCATGGACTGGGTGACTGAGATCCATGCGACCTTCCTGTTCCCCTGAAGAGGAAAGTTGCAGGAAAGACTGTTTCAGTTAAAAGAAATAAGGCAGAGAGAAGAATACACTGAGAGGGCAAAAGAGTCTCCTAGGAGGACATGGCTGAGACAAGGAAGGACAATCTTCAGGGAAAAGGGACAAACATGGTGAGATTCTTTACCCTCCACAGCTGTGCGGCATACAAGGTGTGTGAATGAGAAATGGAGCTTTTTCCCAGGGGTAAAATAGGACTCTATGATTTTTCGGGATTTCTCGCTGGCCTGCAGAAGCAATTCGGCATCTTTCCAGTCCACATCACCATTCTGGGCCAGCTACAAGGGAAAAACAAGCCTGTAAGAAAGCCACTCTAAGAGACACAGACCCTCTTAAGAAATTACACATATACACACTACAGAGGAACACACCTGCATAAAGTCTTGTGGTCACACAACTGCAAAAAAAGAATGCTTTATTTTGTAAACATAAGCCAGGAGTGCACCCTTAAGTGTGGTCATTCTTTCCCTCTACGCAGAGCACAAGGCCACATCTGGAATGCAGGGTCCAGTTTTGGGCCTCCCATTCAAGAGGGACAGTGGTATACCGGAGTGAGTCTTCAGTGCAGGGCCGTAACCTATGTGAGGGACTGCAGCACATGACTTATAAAAAGCACCTGAAGGAGTTGCAGTTTTTCAGCCAAGAAAAGCCTGAGAGAAAATTGAACCTCAGTCTGAGTCAGAAAATTTAACCTCAGTCTCTCAATACCTACAGAGCGGTTATAGAGAAGGAGGAGCCAGATTCAGAAATTTTGGCTAGGGAGCGGTGAGAGAAAACTTATTTCCCTGAGAGTTAAGTACTGGAACTGGTTCAGTACTCTCTGGTGCCCAGAGAGGCTGGGAAATCTTCACTCTTGGAGATGTTCAGAACTCTCCTGCTGCTCAAGGCCTTCAGAAACCTCATCTAGCTTTGGATTTAGCCATGCTGTGGTCAGGGAGTTGGATGAGAGACCTCCAGAGGCCTCTTCTGTCTTAAATCATTCTTCAGTTCTAAGGAAGACATGTCAGGAAGACTATCCCACTGGGACAAGTAATGACCCTAAAACCCTTCCTTGTAGGAGAGAAGACACATCAAGCCCTCCATGTATAAAGTGCATGAATGTGAAGGAAGCTGGTTGGGGAAACTGCACATATGCTTGCGGATAAGACAACAGGGAGAAAAATGCTCAGGTTATAAGCACTCTTTATAGACAACCAAGATGGGAGGCTTATAGAGCCACTTACCAGCATGGCCTTCGGAACAGTTAACCCTTCAAATCTCTCATGTGGGGTGTAAGGGGACCGTCTTCCTCTGAAGCCATCTCCAGTTCTTCCAGCTGCCTGGAATAGATGAATAGAGACGACACAGATGCTGCTGCCATGTCTCCTCCACTGCAACATTGCAGCTCTGTCTGCTGAGGAGCACATCTAGGGCACACGGAGGCTCCTGTAAGATTCAGGCCTCACCTTTGTCAGACGGAGAAGGTCCCTGCACTCAGACTCTGTCAGGACTTGATCAAACACAACCCTGTGGGTTCCATTCATCTGTTCAGAATCCATGGTGACAGTGATACCCTCAAAGGGCAAAGGACCTGTGGGAGAACCATGTAAAGATAGGAACGAGCAGGCTTTGGACAAGAAGCCCTCAGCTACCAAACCCCAGTCTGGGGAAAGAAGTGGAGGAGAGGCAATATATGTTCCGGGGGAAGACAGGACCATTTCGCAGAAGTGCCCAACCCTCACACATTGGCCACCTGCACCTCTCACATGCATCAGGGGAACCAGAGCATCAGCTGGAGGAGCTGGTCTACTGCAAGTGCTTCAGGAGACAGCAGAAATTTGGGCTGTACTGGGAGAGTCACAGGGAAATGGCTAAGAGTTACGGATCACGCAGCTTCCTGGGGAGAGGCTCTGAAGAAGCAGGTAAACCCCTCCATCAAAACTCTTTTCAATCACGCACCTTAACCTAGAAGTATCTCCAGTGTATCTTGCTATTCTCTTCAGCCTCAAAAGAGAAGCAATGGTTAATAGTTGATCACTTGTTGCAATAGGTCTTTTTTCTTCCCCACTCTGACCTCTGAATGGCCAAAAACGCCAACACATTCAGGCCCTCAGAATGATCTGCTCTCCCATGGGCCACAGCAGAGAACCACTGAGGGTCCATTCGAGCAAAGACAGCAGGACAGAGCCCTGCAAGAGGCTCTGTGTCCACACATGAGAGTATGAGACCAGAAAGAACAAAGGGCTCTGCACTGCAGCCTGTCTCATTCAGTCATGATCCATCAGACTTGTTTCTTTTAGAGAAAGACTTGCTCAAGCTGAGTAGTCTGTTTCCAGTTTCCCCCCTTTCTCCATGTCCCCTTCAGATAAATGCTGTTTGCTATTGGGCTAGTGGAGATGAAGCAGGTTTGGTGTAGACCCTTCTGCCTGTCCATGCCACCTGCACTGAACAAGGATTTACATGTCCATAGGCTTGTCATATATCCGGGCAGCATTGGTCTCAGCTTCTCCAGCCACAGTGCTCTTTAGATGTATGCAGCAAGACTTTGCAAGATTATTCATGCATCAAAGAGGGAGAAAAGAAACAGTGAGAAGACTTGCTGAGCCATTCGAGTCAGTCTGCATTTATGTTAGCATTCGAATGCCTGAGGATGGAAGAAGAGACAGCACTTAGCCTGGCTGAATGCACACGAGTCCGTCTTTGAGCTCTGTTACTCACCCCTCTTCTCCCTCTCTTCCACATCCAGAGTCTCCTGCTTTTGCTTCTCCTGATCCTCTCTCGGGAGCAAGGGAAAAAAAACAGATCAGGGCTGTCAGTGCACAGAGTTATACCTAACCCTTCTTTGTGGTCATCTGTTCATACCCTTCATGTTCCTGTTTTGCCAGTCCTACCCTAACCCCTGCCTCCAGCATTTTCATTTCATACTCAATGCAGCCAACCTTACCTTTGTTGCTCCTTTAGACTTTCAGGAATCAGCTCATCTGGAGTCCAGAGATCCTACAAGAACAAGTGCAGAAGGTTCAGCACTCAGCAAACTTCTACCATTGGATCAGGTTAACCAGGCAGTTCCTCGACCCTCTTCTACACGGCAGACCAGACTAATGGCTCTAGCATGTTACAAGGCCAGTTAAAATGGGCTAATGCATGCAGTTACAGCATGAATTTTCAAATAGCTTAAGTCCTGAAGCAGGAGGAAGCCCTTAAAATCCACAACAGAAGGATTTTGCGGTCCTCTCACCAGCAGCTGTTCTTCTTTGGATCACTCAATTGAGATCTAGCAATGTTCTTGATGAAACTAGGGCAGGAAAAACAAAATAATATCAGTACTTACAGGGTCATTAAAAGTTCCTCCTAGATGCTCTACTGCATAGTAAATCAACTTCTTTTCCATCAGTGATCTCTGCACATAATGCTGAATACTCTGAGGAGAAAAAGAGGCTGTCAGATAACCTTAAAAGATAATTCCATATCAGTACAGGGCAGAAACCTGCTCCAATGCACTGCTGTGCGCTAAAGGAGCCTAGTTCTGTTCTGGAGGGACTCTGTCTGGATTATCTCTGTCTAGATTATAAGTAAACTCAGGCTCAGGTTTCTTTACTCCTGAGTTTGGTACACATCTACGGTGAAACATACACACTCCCCTTTTGGCTCCTAGACCAGTGTTCCAGTTGTAGGAGACAGGGAGGGCCAACAAATACAGATCCAGAGTTGTAACTACCTCTCTGGCCTTGACAGCTGTGTCCTTGCCCAGTTCTGTGTGATACTGATTCATTTTCTCCAACATTGGCTCATCCATGGGATAGAAGAGTAAGTAGGAAGCAGCACATTCAGCAGCCAGTGTCTTGTTTCTACCTAAAAGCTTGATGTTATCAGTATATGTGTATAGGCTAGCAGTGCCCAAAGTCTCAGTCATAATTTGGCAGTGGGAGGCCTGACACAGAATACACATCCCTCCTGCCTAGCTGGGCCTCTGCCAAGCAGAGGACAGTGGTCAGAGATACAGGGAATAGGCACAATGAAGGAGGTGCCCACATTTGATGATTACTGGGGGCTTTTTCAGGAGAGGACTGAGGGAGAAGAAAAGAAAATATGAGGAAAGATAGTCTCATCTCTTTTGCCCCAAAATGAAGATGAGGGAGCTAGGTCCTGGAGACCTCTTTGAGAAACAAAAATATGAAGGCTGTAACAGAGGAGGTGACAGACATTTGGGTCAGACAAGCCATGTGGGAAGTGTGGGATGAAGTAGTGGTGTTCCAGGGACAAACTAGGTACTTATGAAAGTGACAGGGTGACAGGATGCCCCATGTCAAGACAGATTATCAGCTAAATTAGGGCATGTAGGGCTGATTCAGGAGGGGCATCACTGTCAAGATGAGATGCAAGCGCATACTCTAGGTCAGAACTGGGAGCCTGAAAAGGAAATACTTGAAGTAATGACATACTGAAAAAAAGTATGAGACACAAAGCTTGGGCAACAGATAATTGGAACTAGGACTTCAAATTGAGAACTCTGGAGGAAAGATTTGTCCACACAGTGCGAATGGAGACATGTTAGAGAAAGCACACAGAGAGTCAGAAGTGGATCATGAGAAACTCTCCAAGGGGGGCCTCAGACCTGGCCAGAGAGATGGACAGAAGGGATAGGACAGGAGGGAGACAGGTAGAGCTCAGGCCAGTGTAACACTTTTCCCCAATGATATGTTGTTCTCCAGATCCAGAGAAGAGGAGCAAGCACAGAGATGCTACAGCAATACTTGTAGTGCCTGGGCTGTGGCTATGCTCACCTTGATCATAGGCGAACTGCAGTAAGTCAAGGTGGGAGGGTATGAAATCTTCTGTTGCTGAAATCTGCCCTGGCTTTGTGGCAATTTCAATCACACATTGCTGTCTGCACTTCAAGACCTGAACATAATGAGCTACAAGAGAAAGCAGTGTGAAAGCCAGCAGCTTCCCCATCTACCAGCCAGGAGTGCTGGAAGATGGAAGATGCGGCCTATTCAGACTTAAAAGCATGGCTTCCTAACCACCCGTCTGTGTCTCCAACACTACCTGCAATTGCTTCATACAGGCCAGGCTGCATGTCCTCCTTCTCCTCCTCCTGGTCCCCGTCGTTTTCCTGCTCCTCCTCCTCCTCCCAAGGTCCTTCACACAGGGTACGACACTCTTCCAGTGCTGACAGTGCTTCTCTGAGTGACTCCTCCAGCCTGGCCACAGCCTGCAGGTACTCATCTGCATTGTAGTGCTGCACCCCAGCCTCATAGGCCTCCTGCAAAGGACGGCACCAGCCGTCAGTGTGGTTGACACCAAAGTCAAGTCTCCCTGAGACTTTAAGTCACCCATATGATAGTGCTGACATCTAGGGGCCTCGTGGATCATGCACAGCCCACATGCAGCAGCACAGCAAATCTGGATACGTGACAAAGACTCCTCCAAGACATGGCAGCCTGCTATAATTGCCACCACCAAATCTGTTTCCCTATCAATAGTTTGCCGGTGCATGGACACCCTGCCTCAGACTATGACCCTTGTGTTGAAATAGAACAGAGCCCTAGACTGCTCCCTGGGAATGTGTGACAAGGCGTGCTCATGCTGATGTCTGTAAAAACACAGTTTCGCATCAGACTCTCACCCAGAGCGGTGTGGCCTCCAGATCCCGGAAGCTGTCTGCTTTCACCCCTGACATACGGCGATATTTCTCTATGTCCTCACGCATCTGGAGGTGCTGGGGATTCGCAACAAAGAATGTATGAGCTGCAGATACTGCTTGATCCAGCTTCTTCAACTGCAGAGGAAAGGCAACGGATGTTACATTCCTGTGTGCACTAGACAGACCCACCTCCCTTTAGATCCACCTTTCACCCCAACTGCTCCCACCAACTTTGGCACCATGACACTGGATACTTGGGTTGGGACCACCTTTAAGAAGCACTTTGCCTGGCCCATGCTGTGACCTAGACTTATCCGCGGCATGCCTGTGTCCCATGTTCCATGTTCCTGACAGCCCATGTGCCAGGCCAACCTCACTAGGCACAAAAGAGTGTCCATGTGCGGGGCCTCGCAGTGCCCTGTACCCCACCACCCTCTGAACTCCTTCCAATCTCCAGCAGCTACCTGGGAAGCACCAAGACAAAGCCAGCATGCTGTTTTTGATAAGAAGCAGAGAAAGATTTCAGTGGGACAGGGCTGTTGAAGGTCTCCAGTCCAATGCTGTGCACCTAGAGGGGCTGACTCCAGAGCTCCACCAGGTTGCTCGGGACCTCATCTAGGCAAGCCCACCTGGAAAAAGGCCACTTGGAGGTAGTTGTAGGGCTCCCGCTGCTCGAAATCCCGCTGGATGGCGTGGCTGACACGGTGCGCGGAGGGCGGCCCACCGAGACGGCGGCCCAGGCAGTGCTGCAGGCAGTCAGCACGCTGCAGCACCCGCTCGAAGAAGGCGGCTTCCCAGGGCGCTGCCGGCCCCTGCACGAAGGCCGACTCATTGCGACCGGCACGGCGGGAGGGGCC